ATAAAATTAAATATTTGAAATGACTGTAATGGCAATGAAAAACTTAGGAAACTAAGGAAAAGACTAGCCCTCTATCCACACTGAAAATGTTGTTTAGCTGGGGATTTCTAATAAAGAATGAACAAGAATCCCTACAAAATGAGCAAAAATTTAATAAAACTGTTCTCAAAAGTTACATAGCTTTATACTGTGACAAAATATGTATTATAGTCATCGTTGGCCAGGCAAATGCAATTTCTCAGCATGCATTATTTAAGGACCAGCATTCAGTATAGCAAAGGACTTAGTTCTTAACTGAATTACATGTGTACATACTGCCACAAGAGACAGTTCTTTAACATTGCTTTATATACACTTTGCAGATGTCAGCATAAGAGGAGCCATCTGGGTAAAGACTCAGTCCAATTATAATGCATTTCAGGTTTAATGAAAAGCAGACATCCCTTCCTTTCACCCTCAGTACTCTGAAGTAAACTGATTTCCCACATGGTCTTAAGGTATGCTCCTCCCTCACAAGTCACTCTTAATGAACTTCTCAATTTATATATAAGCAGCTTATTACACATATCCCCTCGTATCTGTCTTCTCTTACTTTTGTTTCTGGTTCTTATCAAAGAGTATTTCACAAGAATCAACTCTTTTTTATGCATTTTAAGTGAAAATAAAAACACACACACTGTCAAACCTGGAATGTAGAGAGGTTTTTAACATCATATTATTTGAATTTAGGTAAATGAAAAACAAAAACATACCAGTAAAAATTAAAGAAAGAGTCAACATTTTCCTGCAGTTACAGACAGTGGTAGATGAAATACCTATGTTTTTTCCTATTCTAAGCACAGGGTATAGCATTGGAGACTGCTGTGCGATAACTGCTGATAAATGTTACTGATACAACCTGAATTAGGGGTGAAAGAACCATTATATTAGGGAATAGGAGGACTCAGCATCTGTATTTTTGTTAATTTAGGACTGTGTATGAAGTTGCAGGATCAGAAAAACTGACTCGAATGTATGAAAGTTTTGAGAAAGTTCATTTCATTTATATGAACCTGTGAAATTTGTAAAGTTCTGTGCCTCACCTATACAGATTCTCTAGTACGGCAATTAGCATTTACAGAACTGGCAAAAGAGGCAAAAACTTTATCGCATGCATACTGATTTTCAGAAATCAGCAAGAATATATATAAAAATATATGATTTTTTTTTTTTTAGCTGGAAACTATTAAAGGGCCAAAACTTAGGAGTGTGACAGAAGATGACTTTTGCGAGGCACTGCATTGGGGGAGCTGCAAAATTCCACCCACCCTTTGGTGCCACTTTTTTGATTCCCTTTCCCAAAGGGGCCAGACGTGCAGACGCTTTCAAGCTCTCAAAGCTTCTTTTTTTATTAAACCAACATATTTGAACATGGGCTATGTTCAAGTATGCGGTCTTGATTGAAAACAAAGCTTTTAAAGCTTGAAAATCTGCCATGGGTTTTGACTTACAGCTGCCAACCTTAGACTATCTCTGAAGAGTGAATTCTCACAATCACTTTTCTAGCTTGAAAAGAGTATTTTTATTTGAAACAAACGTATTTGTATACAGGCAGATTGTACTCAAATGTGAACAGACGTTATGCTTTACAAACACCACCTCTTGTTCAAGAATCACCCCTCTGAGAATGAATCCAAGATGGAGGCTGGGATTTCAGAGCTCCTGCAGAACCCTGTACAACTCTACACTTTGTCCCATGGGCCCTTGACACTTTTAAAGCCATGATGCTGTATAGGATAAAGGGCCTAAACTACAGTGAGATAACCTGATGTCTCACTATATTTTCTCAAACCGCACATGATTATTTCAGGGGTAACTCACTAAAGTGTGTGAGTCTAGCGTCAGTCAGGCTATGGCCTTGTTTTCTCTTTCTCCACACAGGTCAGCAAAGCTGGCACCTGTCGCAGGGTCTTCCTGAAGCACAATATGGCTGTGCTTTCTCAGACACTGTGCCTGTCTGAAGCGCAATGCCTTCAGCAGCCCCTGCTAGGGGAGCATATCTCACCGCCACCTTTGGATATGCCTTTTATGTACCATTGAGCTCTTCACATATAACACTTCCTGACGCCAAACCAGTATTGAGATCACGATAAAACAGCAACCATTTCTCGCAGCTTTCCCCATATAACTCTACCGAAATAAAAGACAACATAAAAATGGTCTTGTCGCCTTGCTGGTCCCAGGATAGTAAGACTTGAAGAGAGCTCTGTGTAAGCGTGAAAGCTCGTCTCTCTCACTAACAGAAATTAGTCTAATAAATCTAATAAAATTACCTCATCCACCTTGACTCACATAAAAATGGACACATCTGTAAATTTACCCAGACTGTGTTATTCCATTTGTACTGTACACTGCGTGTTTCATTAGAGAACAGGTTTCTGTGGGAGTACAACATGGTACAGCTGCTATTTCACTGTATCATAGATACTTATATGGCCCCCATTACAGTAGTGTGCAAGCTCCTCTCAACCTTTAGTGTATTTATCCTCACAACACCCCATGAGGATAGGAAGTGCTATTATCCCCACTTTACATAGGGGCAACCGAGGCACAGAGAGGCTGTGCCTCTGGTCACTCAGAATGTGTGTGGTGACGCGGGGAATTGGACCAGTGTCTCCCAAGTCCTAGGTTAGTGCCCTAATCACTCAACCATCCTGTTTTGCTAATAACTGCAGTCCATGCTCAGCTGTGCTGAACCTCCTTTCATTTGGTCCTTACCCCATACCAAATTTTGATTGACTTAACTGGTAATTTTGTCTGACTCAGAAGAGCAGCTCTTTAAAATGCCAAAGCAGCAGGTCGTTTCTCAGAGAACTGGGCTCCAGACGGCAGTTCCCGCAATGAAACCCGTGTGGCTCTATCACTCTGTGGACACCAGCTCCATACGGGTTTTTATGGAATGCTGTTGACAGAGTCTTGGATGCAGGGCAGGAGGTGGCCCTGGAAGGAGTGGTGCTAAGGCCAGTGGATCTGTGCCTACTACATGGATCCAGCAGCCATTTTTCATATGGAGGATGGAAATAGCAACAGCCTAGGGAGCCATTGTGGCTCTACTGCTATTCCATTGGTTGGGAAGAGAGGACTCTTTGCCCATGCCCTCAACTCCCAGCCTCATTACTGAGGATGTGAGTTGGACAATACAGATCTCATGGACCAAATCTAAGATCCTTGTTCAGACCTTACTCAGGGAAATTCCCATTGACTTCAGTGGGGGTTTTGCCTGAGCAATGACCTCAGGATTAGGCTCATGAAAAAATGAAAATGAGCACGAATAATGTTTCCCGAAATGGGATTGAGATTACCTAACATTGCAGAAATCAAGAGTTTATACAGAAAGTTTCCTTGTGTTTCCATCAGGTCAAGCAAATATCACATGCTTTTTCAATCTATTTAGCAAACCATGCCACGTGGCACCTGTTGGTAGTATGATCTAGCACAGCATTTATCCATGGTGTGGACCAAATGCTCATGACAGCAGCTTCAGTGAAACTTCCACTGAAATCATGTCATTGGCGTTATTCCAATGGGGGTTGCAGTGGTGTCACGGAGAGGAGAATTTAGCCATGTATGGCCACATGTCCTAGAGGATAATTTCAAAGACTCCATAATTCAGCTTCCCACATCAGCATATAGGCAGTGGCAGCAATGCACAGAATGGGTCAAGCGTGTGCTAAACACAACTCTTGTGGGAGTGTTTTTGTGTTTTAAGTCCACACAGCAGTAACACAATTAAGAAAAACGTTAATCCCCATAGTCAAATATAAATCTATGTTAAAACAACATTGTAGGCTACAACTGTACACTTGAAAACTGAGCAGATAACAGGTACACCTGTAAATCCAATATTTGCATATGTTAGATCAAATTTAGCTTTTCATAAGTGGGTGCAATTCCCATTTGGCTCACCAAGTGAGTAACTATACCTATGAGCAGTTAAGCATGCAGCTACCTGACTTGCATCTGCAAAAGCTTCTGTGCATGGATAAATGCAGGATTTGCATTCTGAATGGGTGCATATGCAAGTATTTGCTGGTGCAGTACTGATTTGCATATTTAGTTATTTTATTTAGATTTTTAAAAAAACTCAAAACCACCTTTCCAAAAGACCCATATTTATGCAAAATTTGAAACAATTTAAACAAAAGCAAGCACAGCAATTTTCTCAAACTGAAGAAAGGAGAAAAAAGATCCCACTCAAACAATTGATCCCAGCTATACAATACACCCACTATACATCCACCCCAAACCTCTCCTCCCTCCTCAAAAACCTGCGGGGGAAAGAATAACTTTATGGGGTCTGTGTGGTAACAATACTTTGCTTTTCTCATGCACTTTCAACAGCCTCACCTGCATTCTGCCCACTAATCCACCTACACTACTTCTGATATTCGAAACCCCTATGCAGCTGTCAAACTACTGATGCTGCCTTTTTTTTTTAAAAAAAATCAAGCTGTCAGAAAAATGCTTCCTTCTTACTCTTCTAAATGGGGTGCTTCTCCCCACGAGTTACTGAGGTCCAGGATAGACAATATTCAGACCCATATCTTGTGACTCCTTGGAACTAGAGGAGAGAGCTCTGTATCATCAAAAAGCCAGGAATTCCCATTCCAATTACATAAAATTTATTTACATGGGTATCAAGTTTTGAACTTTCTTACTGTTGAGGCACTGCCTCAGCATTTTAAAAGCTGTTTTCTTTTCTCTAAAACATTGGGGAAACCCTTCAGGGATAGGTGTGATAAATGAAGGGGGGGTTAGCTCCCTTTTATGGACACCCAGCCAACCAGTTAGCTGTAAAATCCCTCTTGGTAGCTGTTCTCTGCTTGCTTTACCTGTAAAGGGTTAACAAAGTTCCCCAGGTAAAGGAAAAGAAGTGGGCACCTGACCAAAAGAGCCAATGGGAGGCTAGAACTTTTTAAAATGGGAAAAAAACTTCCCCTTTGGCTATTGTTCTCGGGAGAAGGAGACATGAAGCAGCAAGGCTATAAGCAGGAATGCTGTGTAAGGCTTGAACCAGGTATGAAAATTCATCTTCCATACCTAGAAGAAATTATTGGACAGGAAAATGTTTAAATAGACATTATCAGGTTTATTTCTTTATTTTGGCTTGTGTATCTCCCCTGTGCTAACCCCAGATGCTTTTGTTTTGCTTCTAATCTTTAAGATAAACCTCAAGAGAGCTATCTTGATGCTTAATTTTTGTAATTGTTTCTTTTAAGAACTAGCAAAAAGCCTAAGTTGCAAATGTATTTCCTTTCTTTGTGTTTTTAACAAATTTTACCTTTTTTAAGAACAGGATTGGATTTTTGTGTCCCGAAGAGGTTTGTGTATGTTGTTTAATTAGCTGGTGGCAACAGCCAATTTCCTTTGTTTTCTTTCTCAGCTCTTCGGTGGGGGGGGAGGAAGAGGTGAAAGGTCTTGAGGATAACCCACAGGGAGGAATTCCCAAGTGCTCCTTCCTGGGTTCAAAGGGGGTTTTTTTTGCATTTGGGTGGTGGCAGCATTTACCAAGCTAAGGTCAGAGAAAAGCTGTAACCTCGGGAGTGTAATACAAGCCTGGAGTGGCAAGTATTAATTTTTAAAATCCTTGCGGGCCCCCACCTTCTGCACTCAAAGTGCCAGAGTGGGGATTCAATGCTGACACTAGGTTTGCTGGGATCCCAAAGAATGAGTGTGAACTGTTACTGCTGAACACCTGGAAACCTCTTCTGTCTGCTCTTAGGTGAGACTTTGTGGACTAAGCAACAGCACCTATAGCTAATACTCCAGTGGCCACACTGTAGATCCACTTCCCATTCTTCATTTTAATTCTGATCCAGTAACCTCCAATCTGTAGACAAGATCATTCCCACCTGATGCCCTGGATTTCCTTTCTACTCCCCTAGACTATGCTAGTCACCACTCTAGCTCTCTGCAGATGCAGGAGGAGGAGACACTTCAGTGCTTAGCCTCGCATTTGGGGCATGTCTACAATACAAACTTTTGCCAATGCAGGTTACAGCAGCATAAAGCCTCTGTAGTTAGTATAATGCTTGTGCGCATGCATCCTTACACTGGCACTGTGCGTACTCACCAGGAATGCTTGTTTCTATGTACAATGCAGTGCATTATGGGTAGGTAACTCTCCACCATCCAGCACACTGTCTTTTGGGAAGTTCTGGCAATGCATGGTGGGGCAGAAATGAATCTTGCAGAGGTGACTGGGACTGTAGGGTCAAGTTCCCATCATGCAACTTTCTCCAACTCATAATACTATCTCTATCCCATAATTTCTGTGCCTGTTTTGAAAATCCCATAACCGGCATGGGACTTTTTGCTGTTCACCATCTTTAACAGAAGCCTGGAGTCTCCACAGCTCTGCACCATTGCTGTGAGCATTGCAGGCACAGGACACATGATCCTCTGGTATTTGCAGAGCCAAAAGAAGAGGAGTGGGGAACATGATGATTTCCAGGCAGTCAGATTGCTGTGGGACATAGCAAGAACCAGTTAAAGATGGAGCAGCTTCAGGCAGTGCAGCATTGCTTCTGGGACCGAGAAATGAGCACTGATTGGTGGCATCATATCATAATGCAGAATTGAGATGACAAGCAGCGGCTGCAGAACTGTCAGATGCACAAGGCCATATTCCTGGATCTGTGTGCCAAGCTTGTTCCTGCCCTCCAGGGCAGGGACACCAGAATGAGAGCTTCACTGACAATGGAGAAGCAAGTGCTGATCATACTGTGGAAATATACGACGTCAGATTGCTATCAGTCAATGGAAAATCACTTTGCACTTGGAAAATCCATTGTAGGGGCATGGGGCACTGTCATGCAAGTGTGCAGGGCAATGAATTGTCTCCTCTCATGCACTGGCAATATGCAGGACATAATGGATGGATCTGCAGCAATGGGGATCCCAAACTGCAGTCAAGTAACAGACAGCACTAGATCACCATGACACAGAGTATATCAACAGAAAGGGCTATTTTTCTATGGTTATGCAAGTGCTGGGTGGGTCACAGGGGATGCTTCACTGACATCAATGTTCAGGGAAGGTGCATGACTCTCATATCTTTAAAAACATGGGACTGTTTAATAGGTGCTACAAAGAGTGACTTTCTTTCCCAACTGGCAGCTCACCAGTGGTGATGTTGAAATGCCAGTAGTGATCCTGGGGGACCCAGCCTACCCCTTACTCCCCTGGCTCATGAAGCCATACTCCAGCCACCTCGACAGCCCCAAGAAAAGATTGAACTTTTGGTTCAGCAGGTGCAGAATGATAGTTGAATGTGCTTTTGGTAGACTGAAGGGTTGCTGGCATCGTGTATTCACAAAATTGGATCTCAGTGAGAAAAACTCACCCAAGGGTTCTAGCTGCCTGCTCTGGCCTGCATAATATTTGTGAAGCAAAGGGAGAAAAGTTGCGACTGGGATGGAGGGGGAACCCTCCACTTGAGCGTCTGCTGAGTTTGAGCAGCCAGGCACAAGGGCTATCAGAATAGCTCAATGTGGAGCTAGACATCTCAGAGAGGCTTTGAAAGAAGAGTAATGTATTGTGGTGTACTGTGCTCTGCCTGGCCCTGCAGTTTAGGGGCCTGTTAGGAACTGTGTGGTGCTTGGTGCAGATCTATGAATATAAAAGTGACAAAGCACCTATTAATCTGGTGGTGTTTGCTGCACGTTTATGATTATAACACTGTGTTTGTCACTGATCCTATGTGTTGGGTCACTCTGTACAGTAACAAGTAGGTGGGCGCTTTCAGAACTGCTAGGCACTTCGCAGCATATGTTGGGAACTAATAAAGATGAATTATTTTCCAAACAATAGAGTTCTACTGAGTAATGAAAAACACTTCAAAAAATTTCTGTGCAAGTTAAAAGCATACATTAAAATCTTAACAAATTTATAGAACAGAGAAGGGGAAAGAACATTCATTTCCTTTTTAGTTACACATTCATCAACAGTGGTTCTCACAAGTCAGCGTACATGAAGCTGAGGTTGTCCTTAATGTGTGTCTCCCTCCCGCCCCCCGGGGTGCAGTGGTAGGGATAAGGATGCAGCTTCTGATGCCACAGGCACTGTTAAGGGGGTTTGTAGGGAGGTGCTATACTGGAGTTCTCCATGGACTGCAAAAGGAGGTGAGCCCACAATTGTTGATCCTGTAGGTCCACAAGAGTCTGCAGCATCTGTGTGTGCTGCTGGACAAGCCCCATTATGTACTGTTGCATCTCCCTCTCTGACTCCTGGGCCTTTCTCCTACCCACTATTTCCTTCTCCATACACTGCAGTATTCAGCTCCAGACCCTCTGTTCACAGTCTGATACAAGATCTTGCTGAACATGTCACCCCAAGTCCCCTTCCTTATCTGGCTCAGGCATTCTGCAGGTGTGGAGGGAGAACCCCTCAAGGTCACAGGTGCTAATGGCATCCCGAAGCCACCCAGGCCCAGATGCTACTAGCCTGTGTACTGCAGTAATACCTGCTGAAGTTATCAGTGAGTGGTGTGGGAAAGTGTACCACCTTGGAGGAGGAAATGTGTCTGCCATCCCTAGAAACCTTTGGGAAAGAATTGCAGAGTATCCGCATGAAAATTCCAATGAGAAGTTGGGGAAGGCGTCACTGTAATGGGAAATAAATTTTACACACTTACCCGAAGTTCCTTCCTCTGCATCAGGCTCACCCATGCTCGACTGCTGGGACTGACTGGGCTGTGGTGGCGTCTCAAACAGGTCCTGGCTCATGGCATAGCTGGACCCCTTGGGCCACATGTCCCTCTTACTTCTCCTCCTCACTGTCATGCCAGGGGCCTGTGGTTCAGGGTACCCATGGGGATGATGGGGTATCCACCAAATATGGCATGACAATCTTTATAAAAGCAACAGGTCTGTACCTTGGCACTGGAAATGACTGTTGAATTCCCTGGGCTTCTGGTATGTCTTCCACAGTTCCTTTGCTTTCATGCGGCACTACTACTAATGCCTGTTGTAACCTTTTTCTTGCATCTGCCATGCAATCGGATCATAGATGTCCACGTTTCTATGGCTGGTCCATAGCTGTAGTTGCACAATCTCTTCTTCCCACAGGCCCAGGAGATTCAGTATCTCCTGTCCACACCAAGCCAAAGTGCATCTGAAGTGTGTAGCCAGCATGGTCAGCTGGCAACGGCACACAACAATGCGAGCTGCAAGGTGGACTCTCCAATCAGGAAAAGGGGTTCAAAAATTCACAGGGTTTTAAAGGGATGGGGCCGGGCTTCCAGTCTCCATGACCCTTGGGTAGTGAAATTCACTGTTGGGCATTGTGGAACAGCTGCTGGAGGACTGTTAAGGTCGACACAGGTAACAGTGCCTACATTCACCAGGTTGACCTCAATACATCGACCATGGCTCAATGCTGCTTGGGGGGAGGTGTTACTATGTTGGTGTAATGGAGAGCTTACATCAGTGGGAGACTAATTTAAGCATAGACACATGCACAACTAGGATGACACAAGGTGGCTTAAATCGACCTAACTTTGTACTCTAGACCAGGCCTTAGTCACACAATTTCCTTCTTAACATGCACATGAGCATTGATTTTAGGTCTTTCACATAGATGTGCTGAGCACAATCACAAGGCTTGGAACTAGAATCTAGGGAACCAGGGTCTAGTGGGCCAAGCAAAGAGGTGATAACTGGTCCTGTTGGAAACTGGGAAAGGAGGAGACTGACTTTAGGAAACTCAGTTTGCTTCTCTGTGCCTCAGTTTCCACACCAGCAAAATGGAGGTAATGATACTGACCTCCATTATATAGTGCTTTGAGGTCTACGGATGGAAAACATTAGATATTATTTTTATTAGTGTTTTGGAGCAGTTAAATCTCTTAGGATTATCATGAGAGGGGCTCTTCTTAAATGAATCTGATTTTGCATAAGTGGATTTACATTTTTTTATTGTGCATTAGAATTCGTTCATGCAAGTTATTTTAATTTAATTGGACCATACCCAGAAGTTTTTATTCCATTTTTACTTTTTCCTGTCTCAGAGAAATCA